CTAAAAGCATCAGCCTAATCAACATGGAAGAAGAGCAGGGGAAGAGAATAGGAAAACAATTGGCAGCATATGCCAACTGACAACCACGAGGGGAACACGGATGCTGAAGCAGGTGCAGGTGGACCTCTGAGCTAGGGACAGGGAAATCTAGGGAAAGAAGATAACTGGAACCATATTAGTCAACTACTTCCACAAATACGAAGTACACGTCACAGCTCCCTGAGGGTGTTAATGGGGAGAGAGTGAACAGTTGGGAAGTCCGAAGTCTCTTCTGAGACTCAAGGCAACTTCTAAATTGTAGCCTCTTCAAATCAAAAGAGCAAACTCCACACTTCCAACAATGGCACAGAAAATGTAGCGCCATTCCAAAAGGCGAAGAATGAGAGAATAGTGCTGAAACAATAGACCAAAGCAGGACTGGAACCCAGCATGGCAAACTTCAAATCCTCTAGTTCTATGTCAGGCATCAAAGGGCCCAGATGGCTCTTTACGTCAAGCTTTTCTAAACACAACTCATTTCTCTTTCTTGGGCTGGTTCCTGTCCCTGTCTTCAGGCCTTCTGCCAGGTAGCCCACGGCTCTGGCATCTCCAACACCACCCAGGCTTCACCTTCACAGCTTCACACAAGGTCCTCTCCTTGCAGGGAACTCGCCTCCATAGACCTGCCCTCAGCAGTTTTCACTAACCACGGAGGAGGTTGCCACACCCCCTTACTATTGTATCCGTCACGACTTTAAAGCCAGAACCGCACCGATGACGATGCCGGCTCCTCTGGCCTGCTATGGATGGAATCCGGTGGTCCCCTTAAATGACATTTACACAGATTTTGATTTATTGCTTTCCTTTGTAGAATAAGCCTTCCTCTGTTTAGGAAGAGAATTTTCTAAAGTCATTTCCTTCTGAAAAATTGGAAGCTTAGCCGGGTGAGGTCTCACTCTGAGGGCACCACGCCCTTTATTCCATTCCCCATCAGGCCTTTCTTTAAACGTCTCGTCTTTTTGAGCATAAGACTTGGCTCTAGCATTAAATGTCATCTAGCTCTTTTCTCTCCAAACTGTACATTTTTTTCACTGCTTTCTCTTTTTCATTATAGATGCATGTAAGAGTAGTCGCTGATAGCCAAGCAACAGAGTCAATATTAGGCTGTCTTGACATCTCTTCTGCCAGCAAAATTAGTCTAAAACTTTTCGGTCTAGCCTCAGGTATATTCCTAGGACAAGGGCAAAAGGAGTCATGTTATTTGCTAAAATGGCACCAAAATGGCCCCAGCTCAGGTGCTGATTTTGTTATCCTCTGAAGCCTCTTGAGCTGGGCCTCCATAGCTCGCACTGCCCTCTGAAGCCCCTTGAGCTGGGCCTCCAAAGCTCACACTGCCCTTAGCTGCCTTCCAAGTTCCTACTAGGATGGTTCGTTAAGCCCTGCTTACAGTGTTTAGCCGTTTTCCTAGTCTAAAGTCTCAGTCTTACATGCAACAAACCTGCCCCTCCCCCAATAGCATGATCAGACCCTTCACAGCAATATCCAACTCTCTGGTATCAGCTTTGGTCTTAGTTACTTTTCCACTGCTGTGAGGAGACACCATGGCCAAGGAAACTTACAGAGGAAAGAATATTTTTGTGTCCTATAGGTCAGAGGGTGAGTCCGTAGCCACCATTACCCGAGAGATTACATTCTCCCCCTTTTACTGAAGACAGATAGATGCCTTTTCCATACACTATGTCCTGACTACAGCTCCCCTCCCCCCACTCACCCAAGTTCATGCCCGCCTCCCCTCCCACCCACATCCACTCCTTCTGTTTCATTGGAAAGGAACGTAACAACAAAACGTAACAAAACCAGGTGTAATAAAATAAAACAAAACACATCACACTGAAGTTGGAAAAGGCAAACCAAAGTAAGGAAAAGAGCCCTAAGAGCAGTCTAAAGAATCACAGGCTCATCATCCACCCCTCCAGAGCCCCATAAAAACACTAACCGAAAGCTATAATCTATATCCTGCCTTGTGCAGACGTGTGTAGGCTGTGCTTGCTGCTTCAGTCTCTGTGAGCTCGGATGAGCTTTGTTCAATGGATTTATAGGGACTTGTTCTTCTGGTGTCCTCTGTCCCCTCTGGCTCTTTATTCTTCCTCCTCTTCCTAGGGTGCTCTGGGCTCTGAGAGGAGGGATTTGATGGCGACATCTCCTTTAAGGCTGTGTGTTTGAAGGTCTCCCCTCTCTCTGTGTAATGTTTGACTGTGGCTTTCTACTTCATCTGCAGGAGGAGGCTCCTCTGACAGTAATAATCTGAACAGTCAGAATAATTTGAATTCAGACATAATAATGTCTGAGCAAGTCACTGTTCTGTGACTCTAGGGGAATATCGCTTCAAGCCATTTTATTACTACTTCTTTTTAAAGACCACTTGTATTTGGTTTTATCCTTGGTGTCTGGACTATCTAGTCTATATTTCTTGGTCACTCAAGCAGTATCAGGTACGGGTTCCATCTTGTGGAGTGAGCCTTAAGTCAAATCAGACATTGGTTGGTTACTCCCACAAGCTTTGTGCCACCACTGCCTGAGCAAATTTTGCAGGCAGCACAGCATTATAGATCAAAGCTCAGTTGGTGTTCATGATTCTCTCTTGGTAGCCTTCAGAGTCTCTTTCCACACCAAAGACCCTAAAACATAGTGCTAAAGGTTCTGTGTAGACACCAGCTCAACTTCTCCATGTTCAGTGAGTTGTGTGTGTGTTGTCTTCGGCAATGGTGCATTGCTGTCAGTTTGTGGAGAGAGCAACCCATTGTCTTGGAAATAACATGGGCTGTTTGGGGGATTTCCCTGGAACTCTTTTGGCCAAGCCCCTTATCAACTAGTTGAAACCTAGTCCTGGTATTGGAAGCTTTGTTTGGCAACCAAAGATGGCCAGTAGGGACTCCATCTCCTTCATTAGGATTGCCTTCATGTATTTTAGAGTGTTTCCACTGAACTAGGTTTCCATATCATCCCTCCAATGCCTCTGGATTCTAACTGTCTGTCCACGAATTCCCTCCATAAAACCCATCTTCCCTCCCCTTTCCCACCTGATCCTCCTGTTCCAATTCCCCAATGCCCCTGGTTCATACATAAAATTTATTCTGTTTTCCCCTCCCAGGAAATCCATGTGTCTACCCTAGTCTCTTTCTCTGTATACAACCTCTCTGGGTCTATGGATTGTAGCTTGGTTATCATTTATTTAACAGCTCGAGGCACACCCACAATGCAGAGAGTGGCATGGGATTTTGAAACCCTAAAGCTCACCTCCAGTTACATGGCTCCTCTAACAAGGGCACACCTCCTGATCTTTCTTGAACAGTTCTGTCAACTTGAAATCAAGTATTCAACCAAATAAGCCCATGGGGTCATTCTCATTCAAACTACCACACTAAGTAACACATTCCAAGGAAGAGACCTGAGTCCAGAGGAGAGATGAGGATGAATGGCAGGGCAGTGAGCATTGTGGTGAGGGCAGAGAGGACAGTCCACCTGCTTCTACACAGAGACAATGGAAATCAAGACTGCAGCCTCCTTAGAGTGACACAGGCAACACACAGGAGAAGATTAACGTGAAAAACTCCCAACTAATATACTGATCAGACTTCATTTTTGGATATTGAAATTTCTCAGAAGTTTCCTTTCTCTGGATTTCTCCCCGATCCTTTCTATTTAAAGCTCTGTTTTCTCTCTCAACCCTCTCCCCTTCTCCATCATTTCATTTCTTGACATACGTTTCACTTTGCACTATTCTTTTTTTTCATTCATTTATTTAGCTCACAAATAAAGTCATGCACAATTATGATACATAATACAGTATGTTCACAATGGCATGGCTAAATTAAACCAATTAACATGTTATATCACACATATTCATCATTTTTGTTTTGAGAACACTTAAAGTATACTATCTCACCACTTTTAAAATATAGCATATTGTTATCAACCATATTTATCATGCTCTCAGTAGACCTCAAGACCAGTGTGTCACTTATTTTTTTTTTGGCAAGCATATAACTTTACTACTTACTAAAGATGAAATCAAATTTGCATGCACAGGTGAGCACTCACTGAAACACCTTGGATTCATCACATATTTGAGTTTCAATTAATATATATATAATATATACATATATTATATATATCTCAAGACCAATAATGGCAATATGTTATGCATCAATAGCAGCAACAGCTTTTTCAGGTTCTGCAGTCATTTGAACAAAATTGTAGAGACATCCAGCACACTCCATTTTAAAAAACAAAAAACAGACAAAAACAAACAAACAAACAACAACAAAGTAAAAAACAAAATCCCAGAAAACAGCTGCACTATTCTTTACAGTATCGGTAAGAGTAGAATTTGATGTGGGCAATGTGGCTCTAAATTTTTCTTAATTGGGGGCCCAGCTTTACAATAGCAGCAAATTTACAAGCTCTCACTAAAGTATCACTGTGATATGACTGACTTAAAGAAATATTAAAACCACTGCACGTTTTTATCATTTCTTAGGTCAAATTTGTGGGCTTGGGCAACCCTTTGAGCTTTCAAGGTTGTGTGAGGGAAGATGGGTGTTGTTCACGTCCCCACCAGGTAGAGTGGTATTCCAATATTCCATCTCTACCCTTTGTGTCCTGACATCTCATTTGCTATAAGCCAGCCAGCTGTAGGGTTTGCATCTGGCACAAGAAAATTACCTTTGTTATCATCATCATTATTTTCTAGTTTTCATTCTCTATGCCTTATCTTATCCCCACAAATGTTAGTTTTGGTAATCCAAAATGACTGTGACAAACTAAAAGCTACCCTAGTCAGAGTAAGCACTTTAGCTTAATAAAGTAGGACCAAGAGGCTTCATAGTAAATAATGACTTAAATGTAATTGAAACTTAATTTAAAACTTAATCGTGAAGGATGGTGCCTAAACCTAATTCTAGATTTTTTTTTTTTTTTTTTTTTTTTTTTTTTTTGTGTGTGTGTGTGTTCTTTCGAAGGGACCATTCTTCCGAACTAGATATTTGCATGTTTCCATATCCGGATTTCTTCACCAAGGCAGATAAGAAATTGGCAGAAATCATTGACCATCACGTAAGACTGACTTTCTTTTTTAATTAAAAATTTAAATATAATTACATTATTTTCACCCTTCCTTACTTGCCTGCCCCCTTCCCACACTCTCCTTCAAATCTATAGCTTGAATGTATATAATTGTTTTTATGTACATATGCATATATATTTCTAAATATATAAATACTACTTGCTCTGTCTGTATAATGTTAAGTGTATGTACATGATCTCAGGGCGAAACACTTGGTATTGTATTCCCCTCTTCCTTGGGGAAGTCTATTTCTCCCAGTCTTAGCATTTGTTAATTAGCTGTAGCGGTTTGGTTTTTTTTTTTTTTTTTTTTGTCTAGGGTTGAAGCTCAATGATATTTCCCCCTTTCATGTTGGCATGTCTAGTGGTGCCATCCTTATTCAGGTCTTGCTTCAGCAGCCATGCTGATAAGACTTCATGGACGTAGCTTCTCTGACATTTCTAGGAAATGTCTTTCTTAAACTAGCATAAAAACTTTTATTCTTCAAAAACAAATTGAATTACATAATGTATTTCTATATGGAAGAATTAATGGGTGATGCTAAGAGCTGATCCATGATCGTCCCTTCTGAGACTTGACTACAAAGCACCACCAAGCTTACATAGGGGCTGCCACACCCCAATGCCTTAACTGAGGCGTGGTCCTCTGTGAAATGGTAACTTAATCCTGTTCCCCCAATTAGTTCTGATCTCCCACAACAAAAATCTGGTACTAGGTAGTGAACACCAGTTACTGCTGCAGTATAGGTCTAAAAAATAGAACAAAAATAATTTTACTTTCTTTTCAATGACCTTAACAGTTAAGAAGGACCTAAAACTGCTTTGCACATAGTAGAGTTAAACAAGCCATGGCAATATAGGAAGATTCACAAAAAACACTTTAATCTATTTTGCTGATACTTTCTTACCTAACAAACATCATTTTATTTCTACACTTTTAGAGCAACAGAGCTTAATGAAGTAGGAGAGATGTTATTTTCGATTTTCTCATCAAATACCACATGGAATCCATAGCATATATTATATGTTTAAATTATTTTTATCATGCTATTGTCAGTAGATCAATATCATCTGTCAGATTTTGGTTATATTCTAGATTATATTTTATTCTATTAAGTCAGTGATTTCTTTAAAAATAGAAGACATTATTTCAATTACTGATCACATTATATGGTTAATTATCATATAGAATTAATAAGTGAATCTAATAATAACTGTAAGCTTTGGGTTCCAGGGATTGATTGATATTCTTTGCATCACATTATCAGAGGTATACTACTATTCTGTTATGGACTGACAAAGATTTTGTTGACCAATCAATCAATGTATTATATATCAGTCTTCTTAAATTCTAATGATTCACAAATTTCAATATCTATATTTTCTTAATCACTTCAACTAAATTATCTGAGATATACTACATTAGATAATAACTTGTTAACACACTTATACACACACACACAATTTTGTTATATAACACACACGTGTATCTGTGTGTGTGTGTTTGTGTGTGTGTGTGTGTGTGTGTCTGTGTGTGTGTGTGTGTCTGTGTGTGTATTCAAGTGGATTTGGACCCTTAAGGCTAACAAGATGGAATATTATAGTGCAATGACAGACAAGGGTCAGTGAGATAGCTTCCATGAGCCATCACCCTTTGCTTTTCCCAAAGCAACAAGCATTGTCTAAGAACCACTGCTGTGGGCCTGCATATGTTATAGTGGAATAGGTACGAAACAATCCTCTCTGAAACAATTGGAAAAATTATTATGCAAATTGTTTGATATGTTGTCTAATAAAACAGCTAATAGTTTGTTGTTTTTAATTTGGGAAGGGTTTTGGATGTGCTTTGGGGGATTGTATTTTTATTTTTATTTTATTTTTTTCAGACAGGGTTTCTCTGTGTACCTTTTGAACCTGTCCTGGCACTTGCTCTGGAGACCAGGCTGGCCTCGAACTCACAGAGATCTGCCTGCCTCTGCCTCCTGAGTGCTGGGATTAAAGGCGTGTGCCACCAACGCCAGGCTGGGGATTGTATTATTAAAGCTTTCTTGTAGATACCATTTTCTTTAAGATAAAAAAAATAGCTATTTGTCCTTATACTTCATATTGCAAAGCATAGTTAACTCAGTCATCACAGCAGCCCTGTTGAACATTAATTGACAGGAGCAATGGATTAGGGATTGGCATTTGATTACTCTCCCTAAGTTTTAAAGTGAGTAAATCACTTCAAGCAGGAATTGAAATTTGCATCTCTCATGTTCTGCCTTTTTTCTTGCCTCATCGAAGCTGACTCTAGTACTCACATTACTGTCATTAAGTAGAATTGTCAGCGTGTATGACCTGTAATGTTGAGAAGAAACAAAAATCACACTTGTACCTTTCAGGCACCATTCTCCTTTCAAGTCAGTGGTTATAACATGCCAGGAATAGGGGAGTCATTTTGTTATTCAAAGCAAATTCAATTACTTTGCACATACACTGCAGCCGTCCATAGCATGGTGACTACATTGTTGAGTGCATGGGATGCATTAAGCCGTGGATGGTGTTTCCATTTCGCATCAACTTCACGGTAGCACAAGGGAAATAATAATGGCAGGTAAGAGTGGAAACACTACACTGTGTCATTCACATTGAAATTGTAGGGGTAGCTAAGACAAACTGGCATTGTAATTATGGAGGAGGTGAAAATGAAAACAAGGAATTGATATTCTCGATTGTGACCATGCCAAGTTTGAAGAATGGGAAAAAGAAGAAAATTTGTTTTCTGGACAATAATGATATGATGAAACCTATTAATCGTTTTCATACATGTTAATATATTTATACATACTATTTGGGTGATTTAAAAAATCTTATTTTATTAGAAGATCTCAAGAGTTAATGATCATATGGGGAAATGAGAAAAGGGGGACTCTTCAGGGCAGCAGAGTTAGATAAATACAGGAGAAGGAAGTTGCTAGATAATAATAAGGATGTCTGGAAAGGCCACAAAAGTCATACAATTAACTAATTACCTTAAAAACCCTATAATACACATAATTCTGTGAATAAATATACATACACAATTTTAATAAGCTTTTCTCATCTGGGTTGACAATGGTCCCTCCAAGAGTCAAGGCCATCAAATAAAAACCCCAACACCAGCCATAAGCAGCTTTCTTTTTTGAATGGTTAGTTAGGACTGTCAAAGAGATTTCTCAAACACACAGTCTGTTGTTCCCTTGGTTACCCCCCCCTTCCCTCCGCAAGAGGTGGAAGGTAAAGCCCTATGATGTGCCTCAGAAACAGAGCCTAGAGACACCCTGGCCTGCAACTGATCTGAATCCCCCCTCTTTGAGGACTAGCTTTCATGATGTCAGAAGATATCATACAAGCTTCCAGAAGGAGGCAACCAAGATTCCTACAAAGCTACGACAGCAATCTGCATGGCACATAATATAAAGGGTGCAGTGGTGGCGTTATGCGGACTTTTGTGGTAGCCAACAGTTCTATAATTGGTCTAAGGGTCCACTTAACAAGAGGGAAGCCACATTTGGTACTAGAAGCCTACCTAACTAGTCAGTGCTAGTGAAGTCATGGTTATTCCAGGAGAATCTACAACTTCTACTTTACTAACCCAGAATAACCCTTAACAACATTTGTCTATAAACATTTGTCCTTACACCAACATCCGAGGCTAGTATTCATTCCTCATCATGGAAACTTCTCTTTGTAACAGACAGAGAGCAGTTCAGAAAAACACAGCCAATCAAAATGCAGAGTTGTGGAGCCCTGTCCCAGTTGATACATCTATAAAATAAACAAATCATGCTCGGTTGGCTCAGGGAATAGTTTGAAGCAGGGGCAGAAGAGTTGCAAGAACCAGAGACCCAGGAAGTTTGCTGTGAGATTGTGTCTTCCAGAAACATCAGAAGCCACACCCATAAAGTTTCATGCATGTGACTATCTAAATGTGAGCTGAGCAAGGATGACACCAACTATTGTGACAAACAGAATGGGGAGAAGCCCACAGGTTTCAATCCTACTCAAAGAGCTACAAACGACTGAGGAGAGCTGGGAACGGGAGAGGTGCAGCGATTGGTTGCCAAGAGGTCAGCCTTGAAAACATACATACAAGTTACATCCTATGGACTGAACAATTGTATTCATGAATATGTATATATATGTCTTATGTGTATATGGTAACAATTAGTCAAAATGAGGCCACCAGTTTGCAGGAAAGAAGGGAGAGGGATATAAGTAAGGCTTAGAGGGAAGAAAGGGAAAGAAGAAATGATACTTATAACAAAAAACAGACTTGTAACAATAAGTCTTTCTGCTAAAGCCACCTGAGCCCCACTGCCACGTTAAGGTCCCAAGTAACACACAGAGACTTATATCAGGTACAAATGCTGCTTGGCCAATGACTAGGATTTCTCAGCACCACATGGAACCTTCTCTAAAATCGACCACATACTTGGCAACATAGCAAACCTTAACAGGTACAAAAAACTTGAAATAACCGCCTGTGTCTTATCAGACCACCATGCTATAAAATTAGAATTCAACAACAACATGAACTACAGAAAACCTACAAACTCATGGAAATTAAGTAACACCCAATTGCACAATTCATGGGTCCAGGAAGAAATAAAAAAAGAAATTAAAGATTTCCTAGAATTCAATGAATGCGGACACAACATACCCAAACCTATGGGATACTTTGAAAGCAGTGCTAAGAGGAAAGTTCATAGTGCTAAATGCCCACATGAAGAAACAGGAGAATAATCACACTAGAGAATTAACAGCACAACTGAAAGCTTTAGAAAACAAAGAAGCCAATACACCCCAGAGGAGCA